TCAATCAGCATGTTCCACCTTAATCTGCTAGCCAGAAATTTTCAATTTGGCAGTGGGGCATTGTTACCACCTCCACCAAAAAATCAATCTGGATTTTATGAAGTCATAAACTGAAAACTTACACAATTCCAACTTCATGCTTCCATGATGCCGCATGAAAACCGTCACCGCAATAAGGACTCAGTATTACACAACTTGGGACATCCCCATTCATATCACATGGAAAAACCTTAACCACATTAATCGGGCTCTGTTAACATATATATATATATATATATATATATATATATATTGGCATCCCATATCACATCACTGAGGCACTTTCGTAACCACCCCTTAGAGACAGGGCAATATCAAGACCCCAATAAACTACAATAGTTTGCAAGAGAAGAGGTGATATTTCCAATGCGTCATATGCTTGTCCAAGAAAAATATCCTAAATGGCCATATGAGCTTTCTCACAGGTGACTGATAACAAATGAGAGTCAACATCTTTGAAGTCAGAACTCAACAGAAGTTACTAACCATCAGAGCACTAAGAAAGAAAATATGTTACCAAACTCCCAGTAAGAAACAACCATTAAACAAGAATCACTATCCCATATCAGAATCTACTATAGGAAATTCCTAAATAATCCTTACACATGCAAAGACTGTCACCTACATTATGTTAAAAGCATTGCCCAAATTTTACCATGAACATAATGTGTTGTGATACATTTTGTGCAGTGGGATCATTGTGGGTTGGTCAATCTGAGAACAATTACAATGCAAAAAGCCTTAAAAAAAACAAAAAATTACAGCATGTGGGTATTCCCAATGCTATTTTAAGGATTGCAGCATTCTTGGGAGGTTCATGTAAGAATAATTCGAGGAATGAAGCCGCAACGCCATAACAATATGCATGAACTGAACTGAACTGATGCAACAGTACTAGAACCTTATGGCAGTTTCCGATCAGTTCATATGAACAAAATTGTGTAGTTGGATACATCAGGCATTGTAAAGAAAGAGAGCATGAAGATAAAGATAAAGATAAGAACTACTGTCAGATATCGATGTAAATTAGCCAGGCTGGTGGAAATCTCGTGCTATTCGAGATTCACATCAATAGCAGCGCAATTAGATAAAATAAAGATTTAAAACGAGGAATTATGTTTCAACTGGGAAACCCATATCATCTGGTTCATCATTAACATTATCCTTAAAAGCATATCAAGATATGATCCTTATGGCAGGCCACCAAATCTCCAGGTAATAATGAGAACTCATTCCTCACTCTATGAATAATATGTGAAATACATTCTCTCGCTCAGCACAGAGCTCAAGTTCCTTGAAACCATTCATGCCAAATCAATGCAAAAGATCCATTTAATATACATGGCAAAATCAGGGCATGTGACCTCTTTAGGTCAAGTACGCTCGTGCGTTATTAGACATTTTCCATCTTAATATCACCAAGATATAAGGCAATAAAATACCAAAATATGTATTCAGCCCTCTTCTTCTTTCTCTTTTTTTTTTTAATATAATAGGAATATCAACAATACAAAAGAAATTAGGAAAATCACATTCTTTAGGTCATTTGTTATCTATTAGGGACCGCCGGATAAAGACAATATAAAATAATGGATCCGTACCAAAATCAATGCTTAGAAGTAGGAGATAACAAAATCAACAACTAGTAGGCGGCAGAGCTTCCTTTGTCTTCGGTGTCTTTTTTTTTATTATTATTATTGAAGAGAGCCCAAGGTCTCACTATGAACCAAGATAAAATAGCAACATGTAATATTTGAAGCACGATTTATACACAAAAAATAAATTGGGCACAGATGGTAACAAACAAATCACTTAAGCTCTATCATTAAAAAAAATTCAAAGTAAAAGAACTAGGGAAGATGGAACCTGGAGGCTCTGATACCATTGTTAGTGAAAAATTGATGAGCACGAGACAACCCAAGATCATAGTAGAAATGTCGTGAGGCTTGTGACCACAGAGTCTAGATTTATTTTACCTTTTTCAGAATTTTTATTGCCCTTTTGAGAGAGAAGATGAGTTACAAGTTTACATTGTGTTTCTTTCTTCTTGCTACTTTCAGCCTCTCGGTCTTCCGATTTTATAGAGAGAAAAAAATGGCTTAAGGGTTATCTTTTTGCTACTTTCATCCTCTCGGACTTCCGATTTTATAGAGAGAAAAAAATGGCTTAAGGGTTATCTTTTTGCTGCTTTCAACCTCTCTGACTTCCCATTTTATAGAGAAAAAAATGGTTTAAGGGTTATCCTTAAAATGGGTCTCTTACTACTTTCAGCCTATTTGACTTCCCATTTTATAATGAGAAAAAAATGGCTCAAGGGTTATCTTTAAAACTGGTCTTTGAGAAAGGCTATTATCGGATATTAAGGATATTCATTAACATTGACATTGGTTCATGTGAACGTTGAATGCGATAAACATAAGATTCCTCAATAAACATAAGATTCCTCTCACAATTATAGGCGCCCACAATTATAGGAAAAATCATGATAACACCTTAACCTTTCCCAAGGATCTTCTCAACCGTTATGCGAAGCGCACCTTGAAAGCACTCGTTGAGAAGTTCCAATCCCCCTCTAATAGTCTCCTACACTCCTCTACTAGAATTTGAAAGACCTCCTTAGTGCAGGTGTGTATTGGGATACCTTCACTCTAAGCCACAATTTCTTGGTTCATGCAGAGTTCGTAAAATCAAACCGGAAAGGTTAACCAAGCCAGTATTCGCAAAATCGAACTGGAACAATTAACTAGATATGGGCATAGAAGTGGTTTAACCGGCCTAACCATTAAACCAGCCGATTCAAACACTCTAACCAAACAAGTCTGAAGCCGTCAAAAAAGTGTTGAAAAAAAAAAAAGAATACAAAAAAAAAATCTGAAAAGCATATAAAGAATGATTAAAATAAAACACATTCAAATGAAGTTAAAAATTAATGAAAAAATTGGATTTTAACCCATTTTATATTTCTAACAGGGCTGTTCCGATCTAATCGGGCGGTTAGAAATTAGATCAGGCGATTTTACGAACAATGAACCAGGCATGGCCTTGAAAGCGGTTCAATCGGCCCAACCGGTAAACTGGCCATTTCAACCATTCTAACTAGACAAGTCCTTAGCGATCAAAAAAGTATTGAAAAAAATAAAAACAAAAATATGAAAAATATATTTAAAGAATGATTATATAAAACTAATCCAAATGAAACTGAAAATTAATGGAAAAAATGGATTTTAAAAAATCGATTTATACCTAAGGGTATTTTTAAATTTTTAAAAAGATGAAAAAAAATGTAAAAATAAATATTAATGACCAAAACAGTTTCTAATATTTGCCATAATAAAAAAAAAATAGTAAAATATATATATATATTATAAATAAAAATCATTATTTTTGGGATTATATATATATATTTTTTATTGAATTATTCTTAAAATACCAGCCGGGTCATCAAAACCAGAACCGACGAATAGCTGGTTCCGATCTAACCGGGCGATTACCGGTTAGATCGCCCGGTTCTTCTAACCCTGGGTCGTACCTTTTCTAGAGTCATCAAACTGCCATTACCCTCGAGAATCTTTGCTTGGAACTTCTTTTAGCGTCCTCCACATCATCAAAGAGGATGAGGAGCCTTTGGTTAGGCATAAACCTGCAAATAAGGGCGCAACCCCACATTCTCTCACATCATTCCTACAAGTGGGTAGCGTTCGTTCTTCGGAGGTGGGCCAAAAGAGCACATAAAGGCAAGGCCTTGCTAAGCATCTCTTTCCAACCTTTTGTGGCTTTTGTTCCCATGGATATAACTTTGTGATCCACCCCTTCATACACCTTTGTCACTGACATTACTGCTTCCTTCACTGGTGTGGGGCATGGCCTTTAATGTGATCGGGAAACCCTAGCATTACCCTGGAAATGAAACAACTTTGTTTTTTTTTTTTTTGGCGCCTGTCATGACCCCTAGTTTTGTTTTATTTTATTTTATTTACTTTTAAATATTTTTTGTATAATTGATTCGGACCGATTCAAATCAATCCAGATTGCCGATCCAATGATCCACTACATATGAATGGAGCAAATTATCCACCCTAAAAATTCAAGTTTTGCAACACTAGTTTGATGAATCAAATCATATTTGAACTTGTGCATATAAAGGAATGTATACATTGATACCATTTATTTGTGGTACGTGAAGGTCACGATCATCTCTAACTATTAAATTTGAAATTTAAATACTTAATAACAATACACAAAAGTTCAAGACAAACTTTATCATTGTACATAATCAACGGCACACTCTAAGCCATTTTCACATTTGATGATTAGGAACATATGTGACCTCCTTGTGTCAAAAGTAAATGGCCTTTTTTTATACTCTCTCTTTTAATAAACATCAAAAAATGGCAAGTCAATTTAATCAATCATTTTCTTTCAAATAATAGTTTAAGCCCTTAACTCATATTAAACCCAAGTAAAAGAAGTAAGTTATGTTAAGCAGACAGTCAATGTAAAACTTCACCAAAATTTCATAAAACAAAATGGCGGATCAAAATTTGTGTAGCCAACCCAAATTGTTGGTAAAAAAATGAGGATGATTTCTTTCAAAAGAAATATTGTCATTTCTTATTCAAAATCTTTTCCATTCAAAATTCTTTTAACAATCAAAATTGATTGCAGAATTTTGAAATCTATTTTAAATTTGAGGCCGAAATTCATCATGTACTAGAATCTGAAATTGCATAAAATTCCAAAACCCATACGAAATTTATGTAAAATGATGAAAGAATTACTACATATCATTGTTAACAACCGAAGAGAAATTCCCAACCAATTCACAGATGAGAACTCAAATCCGAGGCCAATTCTGACAGATTTGAGTTCCATTTGAGCATTCATTTTTAATCAAAAGGCGTTTCAATTTGAAAAATAATATACCAGATTTCACAGAAGGCTCAACGACCAATAGACTAATATTCAAGAGAAATAGGTCTCTATATTATGCAGGCATCTCCCGGATCTCATCAGTTAACCAGGCGATTCTCATTTGACGATTCCCATAGAGGAATCCGCCTGGTGCCCCCAATGATTCAGGTCGAAGAAGTCGAACCCCTTCCCTTCAACCAGGCGAATTTTAAAACGCTATCACATTATATAAAGGAACCAAAGGGTTTACTAGGCTCCTTCGATGAAGTCAGATGAAACCACTTACCCAAAAAAAATAAACATTTGGTCCACATAAAAATATTTTCTAAAAAACATTTTCACATTAAATATTACGTGGGAATATTTTCATACCAATTGGTCATTGTAGATCTTTTCACAACCATTGACAACTAACTAATGCAAAAATATTCCTAACCACATAAGAGAATTTTTTCATGTGAAAATATTTTTTTAGAAAACATTTTCACGTAAACCAAACGTGAATAATTCTATAAAACTGCTTATTTGGCCACAAAAACAATAGAAGCTCTTCACAAAAGTATAAAGTGATTAACCCAAAAGCTCTCGAGCCCTTCATCCAGAGAGAGAATAAAGTGATTAACCCAAAAGCATGGGCTCAGAGAGAGATTAATCAAGAAGCATGGGCTCTGAACTTCCACTAGCATCCTCCACACTACTCTTGTGCTCTTCTTCCATGGCATTTCTCAGCTCTTCGGCCAAATTCCTTTGCTCTTCATCAATCGTATTCTGCAACTCATCAACCTGCAAAAAAAATGGGGCAAAAGAAGCAAAGTGGATAAAGAAAACCAAACTAATAGAACTGGAAATCAGACTGATCACTAATGGACCCTGAATTATAACATTAGATAAATTTGGATTTTACTTTTGGTAGGAAAAAGTAATCTAAATCCCAAAATTGCCTGGCAATGCTAAGGTTGGGTCTTTTTCCTATTTAGCTCAATTATTATTAACAAAGGATTTTAATCAGTCCAAATAGAGGAAGTTTGAACCAAACAGACATAAGGACCATGAACATCTAAGCATCCCTACTTTAAGTTTTAAATGGACACTCCATGTTGTCAATTAAGGAGCTGAAAACAGGGCGGTGTGTCAGGGAAGAGAAGGTAGAATTGCAATTCCAAAGGAATATCAGCTTATTTACTTTGACGCAAAGCATTCTATAGTACATTTTCATATAGAAAAAGAATACTAAAAGCCCCTCAGACTGCCTGATATCAACAACAGACGGTTGAGAAGTGTCATTTCTCTACTCAAAATCCGTCAAAATGTTGGCATCCTATCACAAACAGGAAGGTGCAATAGGATACGGAGTCCCACTGTAAATCCCACAAATACCCAAGTTCTCCAAAACTGACACAAGCAACTTGAAGAATTACAGCAACTCTGGAAATGGAATGTTTTCAGAATAGAAGAAAGAGAAAGAATGGAAAAACATACTATCATTATGGTATCAATATGTAAGAATAAAGGTATTTCATAGATTGTTGTAAACCAAATCCGTCAAAATAAAAGCCGAAACATGTAAAGATCAAAATGTACTATGTGCGTGAAGATCAAGCTGTGCAAATATTAAAATGTAAAATACTTCCCTCCATCCATTGTGTCATCCATTGTGTCATGTATATAAAGATCAAAATTTACTTATGTTGAGGCCGCAATAGTCAAAGAAAACAACTTTGTGTGTGAACATAATCCATCAAATAGATTCATGTATTCTATGTCTAGGAATAAAGACATTATGCTAGAATTGAATTGTGTCATTGATCAGAATTAACCATTAAAACGTAGGGTTTCCCATGACCCTACGGCTCATGGCACAAACCCATATCAATGGCATTGATCCAGTGTAACATGTACCTTCTAAAAAACTAAGCAATGGTATCATTCCTTCCCCTCTTCCAGTAAGTAACAAAAATTTCTCAAAATCAACAAAGCAAGGTTTATTTTAAAGCTTTTTTCCTTTTTTTTCTTTTTTTTCTTTTTTTTCTTCATTTCTTTGCTAACATGACAAAGCATTAATATCAGCAAAGCAAACTCACCACATGCAAGAGCAGAGAAAATTGCTTCTTTCGAAGCTCCAATGTCCTCGAACCAGCAGCATTCTCAGCCTCCAAAACCATGATTTCTCTTTCTAGGTCCGATATAGCTTTTTGAGTCTCCACCCTTGGTGGCTGCATAGCAACAAGCTTCCTAATTGTTTCACACTCCTCCTTGTGTTGCCTCTCTACCTTACTCTCCTCCAATTGTTTCTTAAGCTCCTCGATCTCAGCTCGACCCTGAGATATATCTCTATGTAGCTCTCCTTGAAGCTCATTGAAGTACTCCTTCTCTCTACGATTAGCATCAATAACAGCTTTGCTTTTGAGAAGGGGCAGCTCGAAGCTAGTGACCTCTTGCAAAAATGTTTTGTATAGTCTCTCACAATCCCCATAGTTATCAGCATCCTTATCGATTTCTTGCGCAAAAGCGACGAATTTTTTGTGAAGTTTTTTCAGTGGGGGTTCACCTCTTGTGGTGGTGATGCGTGTGAGCAGCCTGTGTTTTATCACAATGTCATCTTCCAGGGGGCCAATCGCATAGTGAGCGCCAATCTCTTCTCTCCGACCCCCAAGTTTTCTTCCCTTTGCCAACATTGGGTTGTGTTCTGAGGGCCAGAAAACTATACAGCATCAAAGAAGACAAGTAATATTAGCTATTAAGAGAAATGTGCAGAAACCCCACAACAAACAGTAAGAAAAATATCAAATTACAACGAAAACAAAGACCTCAAGCATGTGCGTGCATAACAAAGCAAGTTTTCCATTATGATTCCTCCAAAAAAAACCTTTTTCAGCTGCAACAAAACTACAGAGAGAGAAAACCCCAAATCTTCCAAAACGAAATCCGAGAAGAGAAATCTCTCTCTCTACTGTGGACGATATACCAGCTACAACGAAACTACAGATAGAGAAAACCCCAAATCTTCAAAAACGAAATCCGGGAAGATCGAAGCAAAGAAGAAATAAAAAACCACATCTGAGGAAAACGAACCAACAACCTACCTGGTGAACAAAACCTAGGTCTTGTGCCAGAGAAAGATAGAGACACAGAGAAGGTATTCGCTGTTAAACCATTATAGGCAGGTTCCAGGGGAAAACCCCACCACAAAGAAACCAAGGCCTTGAAGAAATTGCAAAACCCTCACCGCAGAAATGGGAAGTCCAAAACTCCAAATTCACAACTATTTTTGTTAGAGAGAGAGATCCATTCAACAAAAATGCATTACTTTAGTATCGTCCGTCTATCGCCGGGTAAAGAAATATAAAAATAAATAAGAATAAAGAGGTAAAACGAAACCTGAAAATTACCTGGTTATATATCTACCCCACTTTCTCCTAAATTGCGTTTACTTTCTTCAGTCTTTCTGCTTTTCCTCCCGCTGCCTCTGTTCTCTTACGTTTTTTATCTCTCTCTTCTCAAAATCTACCCCATCACTGCCCGATAAGATAGGAAAATTACAAAAAACAAAAAACAAAAAAACAAAAAAAATAGGAAAAAAAAAACCCTACTTGCAACTTACCCCGACCTAATTATTTTTCTCTTTTATTTTATTTTTAAAATAATTTTTTTATTTAGACATAAATATTTTTTTCTACACAAAAATCATTTTGACCAGATTTCACGTTGACTTTTAGACTTAGCAACATATTACCGGAGGGCACTAATGTTGAACCGCCTTAAAACAACTGCAGGACTGTATTACCAAACCAACCTTTAGTGCCAGTGTCCTAAAAGTATTACCGCACCACTCTTTACATAGTGCTAGAGTCTTGGAATCGAGTAATATGTACTCCAATGACATGTACTCCAGGCCGCCTTTGCAACAGTTGGACCATGTTCGACCACAATTCACGACCCTACTACCGTAGGGCACGGTTGGATCCCAACTGCCATACTACATTTACTTAACGCTGGAGTCTCTAGTTTTATGGGATAGAGGAGAGTAATGCACTTGCAGAGTATTGGAGTCTCTATTTTGATAGGATAGAGAAGAGAAATGTGTTTAAAGTAAAAGTAAGCGCTGGAGTCTCTATTTTGATGGGATAGAGGAGAGAGATGTGGATGAGGTAAAAATAAAAGAGGATAGTTTACCTATCTTTTTTATTTCTTTTAGTTGAGGGTATCTGGATAGAAAGTATAGAAAAGGGTAAATGTTAGATTGGAGTAAGTTGCATAATAATGTTTTTTTGGGGTTTTTTTGTAATTTTGGCCATTAGTTACTCATCCGTACAAAAAATAAAAAATAAAAATAAAAATAAAAGGAGGCTCACTTGTTTTCTCGTTTTATATCCACCAATTTTTAAAAAAAAATTGGAAGAAGGAAAAAAGTTTATATAGACAAAAAAAAAAGGAAAACATTCAAATTAGAAAAACGTTTATATAAGGTTGCAACCTCAAAATGTAGAATTACATGTGCACCTAAAAAAATTATCAAAAAATGTCGTTTTAATGTTGAAACTCATCTCGACATCGAGATATACGAATATGACAAGAAAAAAAAAGTTTTTGAATCCTAGAAATAATGCATCTTGCAACATATTATCTGTCTATTTTCAATATTTTCATATATTTATATATCTACTTGATTTTACCCATTTTGGGAGTTCAAATTTTATAATTAGATATAAAAATTCATTTTCAGATAATCCTAAAAATTTGTTACACCAAAATTGCATGTTATGAAAAAATTTGGAAGTGCCCCTTAATTAGATTGTTTAATATTGCAACCTTATAGAAACCACACCCTTTAAATTAAGGTGCACCTCAAAAATTTATCAAAAAAGAGTTGTTTTTTATGTTTGGAAAACTTTCTTAGTGATCATCTCACAACAAGATGCATGTATAGGAAAAGAAGAAAAAAAAAAAGATTTTGAGTCAAAAAAATAATGCATTCTGAAACACATTATCTAGACCATCTATTTTCAAGATTTTTACATATTTATAAATCTATTTATGCTTAAAAGAAAAAGTTTATATAAAACCGAGGATTTAAACAAATGAAATTAGAGCCCACCTCAAAATTTTCACTAGAGGATGTTGTTTGGAAAATAGTGCATCTTGTACTGTATTTTTAGACCACCAATTTTCAAGATTTTCAAGTTTTTATAGATCTACTCAATTTATGTTATTTTTTATGTTTTAAATTTTTTAATTAAAAATAAAAATATATTTTAAGACTATCACTAAAAAATTTAATGTTAAAAAGAGCCGCGGCTTTATGGAAACCACACTCTATTTTATTTTTTATTTTTACTCTTTACCCGTGAGCAGTGCTTTTATTCCCTAGGGTTCCTGTCCTTTCCAGCAATAAATATCTTGAGAACATTTACGAAGTTTGACTTTTATAGTAGAGGATTTTACGTTTATATATTACTTTTTGAATGTCACAATTATTATTATTTTGAAAAAGAAAATTGATCAAAAAGGCTCATGAGAGATGATAGGTATTTTACTTGTAAATGTTCAACTCATGATAATGTGTCTTTTGATAGGTATTTTAAAATCGAAAAAAGTTTATATAAAGTTATAGTTTTATTTGTAGCAATAAGGTTGTAGTAATCTATTTTATATATTTTATTTGAACGGTGTACATTTGAACATTATCTTAAAATATATATAATGTATTGACACTATCATAAAATACGTATCAAATCTACACCGTCTATATTACGCCTACAAACAAGTTGTATACTTGCCCCCACTAAAAAAAAAAGGAAAAATTTAATCTGGGTGCCTTAAACAATCAAATTAAAGGACACCTCAAAAATTCACTAGGTCGTTTTGATGCCAAAAAATCATCAACTTAATATGTATGGATATAAGAAATAATGGATTTCAAGTCTTGAAAATAGTGCATCTTGCAATGCATTTTCTAAACAATCAGTTTTCAAGATTTTTAAGTGTTCATAGTACTGCTCGATTTACACTATTTTTGAAGGATAGTTATACATGAAAATAAATTTTCAGGCCATAACCAATATTTTCAATTTTTAAACACTCTTTTGATACCATTTAAAGATGCGCCTTACTTTGATTGTTTAGAGCCTCAGCCTTATACAAACCACACCAAATAAAAAAAAGCGCTTTACAAAAATAAATTGAATTTTGAGTTCTCCACAGCATTATCTCACCCTCCAAAATTTGGATGATCCATGTTCAATCTTGAAACCATACTTTTTCTTTATTTTCTTGGTTTAGTTTCCAGGTCCAAGAGGTTACATCCTCTAATTTTGGGCCCAAAAGGTATTCTTTTTACCTGAAAAAGGAAAGGGACATTATACTCCCTTAATGCACTAATGGAAAATGTTTACATGCTTTATGCTCATTGGCAGGTTAAGTATATAGAAAATAGTGGAAAATGTTACTATGCTCCAAGCCTATGAACCCATTGTTTGTGTATCGCAACCTGCTATGGTACACATAAGAGCAATGGTACAAGTGCATTTATGTCCCAATAAGCCACAGACCGATGCCCAAAAACTATCATTTGATCATCAATCCTATATGTGGCTAGATTTACTTAAACCTTTTGCATTCGCAAAAGTTTTTATAAGGTGTCAACTTTCTTATTCAGAAAATAAGATGCACCTCAAAAAGTTAATAAAAAAAGATTGCTCTAATGCTGGAAAACACTCTAATAGATCATCTCGAATCGAGATGGATGGATATGAAAAAAAACAGATTCCAAGTTTTAAAAATAATGTATGTTGTACTACCATTATTAGGACCATCCATTTTGAAAATTTTCAAGTGCTTATCAATATGCTTGAACCATTTTTGGAACTTTAAATTTTATAATTAAGGGTAGAAATAAACTTATAGATCAAAGTTTTATGAAAAAAAGATTCCAAATTCTAAAAACGTAGCATCTTGTAAACATTATTTGAACTATCCATTATGAAAAACTCAAGTGCTTGCAAGTATGCTTGAACCATTTTTGGAACTTTACATTTTATAATTACGGATGGAAATAATTAAAGGTTTTCTATAATTTGTATCATCGTCATCATCAACCAATCAAGAAGCATTCATGTTCTCCATCAAAGTTTTATGTAACTTAAGGGCATCTAAGTCTCCGGCGTCCTAAACCTTGTTCAGCATTCCACTACCCTACTCATTCATGAAGTATGAAGCCCTTGGGGCACTTTTTCAATAGGGACCTGGCCCTTTTGACGAGTTAAATGCCCTTTGGAAAGGTTTCCTCTAAGCATCTCTCTCTCCCCCCACCCCTAACCATATGGTAATTTCTCTCCCCTAATCATATAGTAAGGGAACAAGCAGATCCATCTGAGATGAGCGAATGTCAAAACTTTTAGGTGGTGTTTGTGTTGACAGTGCAGGATTATTATTGATTAGCATATTAGATGCAACCGAAAGCATACGATCGGTATTTTTTATTGTTAGAATAAGTGGATTTTGAGGCCTATAATATAGCCCACCTTTCTGATTTTGCAGACTAAAATCACATAGGGAGCACTAAATGTTCATCTCAGATTCACCACTCTCCAAAAGGGTAAACCGATTCTTCTCTGTTTCGAGTTTGTCGCACCAAGCATCTGAACAACTTGGAGAAAAAAAGAAATCTATCAACTACATGCAACCACATATCAAAATAAGAGAATAATAATGCTCCCTCAGCTGCCAATGGAGGAAAATCAAAACGACTAAAAAATGTAGGCAAAGGAAGGATCAGTTATAACAGGAAAAGGGAATGAGAGAAAGGGTAGACTGTTGATTCCCTTTCTTGTGTGAATCCCTACTCAGTACAGAGAAAGGGTAGATGATAATTCCGTTTCTTGTGTGAATCACTATTTACCAATGTACTGAAAATTGACTTGGTACTCGAAAATTGGCCAAGGCGAGTTATTTGGGTGAGTTAAAGTAACTCTCTCAAGTCCAGCCTATATTTAATAATAAAAATAATAATAACAATAACAAATACAAACAATATTTTATATATAGAACCTCGCATTTTTCTTACATCAAACAACAAAAGGCATATTGGTTTGGCCTGCCACTCATAGGATGCCACCTTGCATTGTGTCTTAGGTTCGATCCCTGTGCACGTGACAGGGCTGGAACCCTCACAAGGTTAAAGAGTCGGGCATGCTAACCTGATGGCCATTTGGTTTTTTCTTAATTAAATGGACATATTATATATAACTCAGATAATGGGTGTACGCAGAGGATGAGGCCGACTAACTAGGCCAAGTCCGAGTGGACTTGATCAATCGCTGTACATTGCTATTTACTGATTTGATGGGCATGCTAACCTGATGGCCATTTGGTTTTTCCTTAATTAAATGGACATATTATATATAACTCAGATAATGGGTGTACGCAGAGGATGAGGCCGAGTAACTTGGCCAAGTCCGAGTGGACTTGATCAATCGCTGTACATTGCTATTTACTGATTTGATTACAGTGTGAACAAATAAAGTGCAATACTCAAATGGGAACAGAGCTGCCTTGCCATTTCTCCGTTGCTCTATTTGAAGAACTTGAATCGCTTCTGCAAACTAGCCCTCTGAGACCCACCAAAAGATGCTTCAGAGAAGGGTGCCAGTCATAAATCTATGCTGCAGAACCGATTTTGCCATCGGTCGGAGGCGATAATCAGGATTCAGCATAGCCTACAAAAAACATGCGCAAATCTCATACTCTAAGGTACCAACTTAATACATAATTTACAACACCTACATTTATAGACATTCATGGAAGAAAAGCAAAACAGTTAAGCATGCAAAGCATACAGTCCAGTTCTAAATATAGATGGTTTAAGGTTCTGATAACCACCTGTAGTAATTCCCAACCAGCACCACCACCAAGATCCAAAAATTTAACAGCTTCTGACATCCGGTCATCCGCTTGACAGTACCTACAAATATATGAATGGACAAATCAAAACCCCAAGGCAAATAAATTATGTCTTTGGTAGATCATATCCCTCTTTGTAGTTATATCACAAGGACAGATGGACTGGGTCCAAAAGTTTAATTCCTTGGACAAGACTTATAATCACATCAACAGAATTATAGATGTGGAAATGCATTGTTAGGTATATAAAGTTATGGAATCTGTGGGAAAGTAACAAGTAAAATGACAGAATACAAAACAATGCAATCGAGAAAGGGCATTCCTCTGAAAATACACTAGTCATCTCCACTATCACATATTTGCCGTAAATTATTCTAGTATAAGGATATTTTGATCATTCATACTGCATACAATCTCTCATTTATTCTATTCACCTTGGTGTCACTTATGTTGAATTTAATGTCAATTGTCAAATGGCCCTAATTTATCTCCATTACTCATTAGTAAGGACCATTTGTATTCCTCATAAGTTCACAAATCACAATTAGGAAAATGTTTTCGAAAAGAACAAGTTAGAGATCGCAAACAATACTAAAAATATTCTTCACTAAAGAGTGATGGAGGTCAATTAGGGCCGTTTGACAATTGACATTAAAAAAAAATATTAGAAATCCTTGTTGTTCAGAGATTATTAGAAAATCTTATTCACACTGCATCTAAGGGCCTGGTACTGTTCGCAACAGTTCAGTCAACTACAGGTTGTAGGGGAATATTAGAGTCAAAAGCATTTCTCCCATTCAAATTCTTCAGGGGAGAACACAAGCATATTAAGTCTGTTCGGACATTTTTATTTTATTTTTTCACTAGTTCCTAAGGGTCAGAAAAATCACCTCTTCTTTTATTGTTAACTCAAAACTCATGCAGTGCAATGTTGTGCCCACCAACAAGAAGGGTTTCATGGTTTTCATTTTGGTTATTAAGAAGATAAAATCCATCACTATATCACATTTTCATTTCTCAACATTGTTATTTTCATGTTATTCTCCAAGATAAATTCATGATAAGGCACAAGTGAAATTCTCCTATAAATCCCTTCTACCATCATGTATTGCATCCTTCATACATATCCTTAAAGCACCAAAATCACCATCACTGGGTTTCCTATGATATTCATGCATACACATAGAGGTTGGCGCCTACTTTGAAAACATGAAGCATGTTTTGTCCAAAGTTGGATAACCTGGGTTCAATACCAGAAGAATGGCATATAATGGCCATTTCCATGCACAATCAAACAGGGCATTTATCAAAAACTTGCTCTAAAAAATATCAAAATGTAGGCCAGCAATTTAGTATCCACAACCTAGTTGGAAATGGCTTACAAAGATGCCAATCTGCTAATTATATAATAATATATCACTCAAGCATCAGGTAGTGCACAAAAGGAAATGAGCACGGGTCACTGATGGGAAGCCAAAAAATGAGAGAAAACAAGTAAAGAAGAACACATGACATCAGACGCGTCATCCTGATGATCTCGAAATTATAATGTAAGTGACAAGCCTAAGACTTAATACCGCCTAATACAATCCAAACCTATCAGCTACATATACAAAACACCCTAGCCAACACCTTACGGCTAACCAGATACTAAGGCAGAAAATCAATTACAGATTCAATTTGAAGAGCCCAATGACATTGCAACAGGGTGTCCTCGTATAAGGGAGACATACTCTCTTGCAGCTTCTAGGTTAAGCTGGAATGTGCCCTCAAAAAGCCTCTGCACACGCAATACACATAATGTTATCACGGGTATTGAATGCAACATGAATGCTACATAATGACGGCCACAATACGTTATGCAAAGGATAAGTGGCATGGCTACATAATTAATTAAATCAAGATTTACCATACGATTGCATAATTAAAGATTTATGAGTTACTTGTAAAGACGGGCCATCAATAGTGCCGGCTTCACAAAATGGAACAAAGGCCAAGTATGCAACAAGCAAGCCTGCTTCATATCTGTTTGAGGAGACACAAAGGAACAAGGTAGAAAATACAAGATGAGAAAGGCCTTTATACTGAAATTCGTTAACTTTTCAATTATTTTGGTACTTAATAAAAATCCTAACTCTTTAAAAAACATGTCCTTAGGCTTCAAATCTTAATTAAGATTCCCAAAGCCTAAAAGAAAAGGCTAAATCTCAATTCAAATATCTGAAGGTCCTCACATATCATCTGCAATTCCGAAGGCTCTTTTCTCAAATGAAGAAAAAGCACCAGCAGCTAATGCCCTACGCCATAATGCCTCTGAGAGTGGTCGTGGATCTGATTCCAAAGATGAATACCTGGAACCATTTCGAAAGTTATACCAGATCTACGACCATGTTGCCTAAACCTAGCTCATTTTATGAACAAGGATGAATCAACACATGTGAAGGAGCTATAAAAGAAATATCTCGATTGTCCTTGTCAGATGCGTCGAGGCAAGTGCAGTATCTGGAGAGTGACATGAGCAGACTTGAACATGAACTGAAGCACAAAGCAGTGCATGCATGATCTTCATAAACAAATATCTAGATTAACGAATAAAAAAAAATGTAAGCCCTCAATAACTATTCAGTTCGTCATAAAGATGAACGCATTTTCAGATTCCATAGTTTTTCATCACCTTTCATCTTATTTTGATTATACCCATCAACCCAAGTAAATTAACAAATTATATATTATTGCCCTTCGACCACACATCTATAGTCATCATTTGCCCCTTTTCCATTCTTGAAGAAACTTGAGATCGACCTTAAACTTGTTAAAAAAATTTCCACGTCCTTTTTGCAAAGGGGCACCAAGTACCATTTCAGCTTTCAACTTTTCCATTTAATATATACATCAATCAAGATTTAAGAAATCTAGAATAGTGAATTTCTCCTTTTCAAGTCAAAGGAAAATGGCAAGACTATAGTCATCTGACCATAGTGTGTGAATGTTTTCTTCTTCTCCATTCCTTTAAGGGATCTACATTGGATCAAAGGACCACGAAACTTGTGAAATTTCACCGCCCTCTTCTTCACCTTTTCCACTTATGCATTCGAAGGGATTTGTGCATTCTCATCCTATCCCAAGCTACAACAGCTCCATTACAAGCTCTGAATTTTGATAATTCTATTGAGTATCTCCTTAATCAATCATCAACGGTGAACCTTATTAAAAATGTCCACCTCGGTCCTCTTCCACATCAACAACTTTAACACAACAGTTTTGTTGTTCCATAATTATGGATGACCCAGAGCTTAAAAGAAATAAACCTCAGGCATTATTGATGCACCCTGAAGGGTGTCTTAAGGTTCTTCACCCCCCGGCATTCAATACCGTGCTCAAAGCCACTAGGAATCATTCCATAAATACCATGCTCAAAGCAACCTGAAATCATTCTATAAGGTTTTAAGTTCCTCGTTTTTCAAAAAGTCAAAACTCATTTTTTTAGATCTAAATACTAAACATTCCCATGCCTAAAACCTTTGTTTTTTATATATTAGTTTCTTACATTTACTTAAGATTAAATTACAAATAATTTATCATATTCAATATTAGTAATTTAATAGAATACTCTCCCACATTAAAAACCACTTTTGAGGTAGGTGAGAGACACAAAAAAAGTTCCAAATCACCTCCAAAACAAAATTCTCCAAATACGATTGGATTTGGAGCTCCAAATAGCATCAAATCCCTTAGATCCACCGCCCATTCAAAATGCATGGCCAGATCTGGGCTTCGTTTTTCTTTTTCAATAAGCCCAGATCTCATATTGGGTTGACAATATATTTGGAGCATTCTTGAAGCTCCAAGATAATTTTTGTTTTTATTGAAAATCTGGTTTCGTTTTTCAAAGTGACGTCTCCTAATAAGATTTGATTTGGAGCTCAAAAGAAGCTCCAAATCACTTAAATCCACAGTCCATTCAAATAGATGGCCTAAATTTGATTTGGCAGTCACAATAGATTTTGGAGCCCCAAATCAATTATTTCTTCAGGAGCTAGTTTGTGGAAATGAGGTGACTGACATGGCATTCTTTTGATCTCTCACCACCTCAAAATTGGTTTGTGAGGTGAGGGAGCATTAAGTAATACTGCTAGCGATGCACAAAAAGTTCTTCCAATCGTGGAAATTTCATTAATCATGTATTTGGATGTGGATAACCATTCTATTTAGTTTTCTAGCTTCTTTTACTTTTCTCATAAACAAACATTGAAAAGTTACCGATTTTCAGGCCAAAGTCCAAAAGAACACAGTTGTGTAGGACCTGAGTTGTGATCTGTGTTCAACTTCTTGAACATTTGTTGAAACCTTTTGCTTTTGTGATACCAGACCTTCCTTAACTTAACAAACCTTCTGTAGGGTCCATTTATCAATAAGAGTACCAATTGTACTGAGGAATGCAACAGGTACAGAAAAAGCACTTGATGCTATGATAGTTATTATGTGGTTCATAATGTGCTCTGTTTCAATGGCAATAACTGCTAATTACAGCTAAGCGAATTTCCTTAACATTAAAATGATATAAATTACATGGTCTGAAAATACATTATAAATCAAATTGGACTTCTGGAGCAAAGATAAAATCCAGGTGACCTACCTTATGTCAACAGAGAAAGCCAAATCACGAATCCGAGGCACAAGGTAAGCTACATCTTTCTCCACTATTGTGCTGACAATGACAGGATGGTTTGTAAAAGAAAACAGTGCCATAAGAAACATCTGACATTTGTTAAGGAATATGTGTGAGAAAGTTGAATACAGTAGACGTACTTGAGAACAATAGAAGCAGGTCCAATACTCTGATGCAATCTATCATGGTCATGCATGTAAGAAAGACCATTTATAGCTCCTCGAAGAATCTTAATAACAAAAATTCGCCTGCGTTTGATAGTTATATCCACATCAAAAGGATTCCAAAACTTCGCCTCACCCTGAGAACGATTTCTTGATAGGGCTTCACTTGTGATATTCCCATAATCTGCTGCACTAAAATTACCATCATTACGAAAGGCCAGCCACTGCACACAGCGCAGGATGGTTTCAGCAACATGTAAACAAGTAACAAAACATATCTTACTCTACAGAAGATAAGAAATACCTGCTCCCCAGTTTTCGTCTCAAAACCACCCAAGAGTATCTGAATATTCTGGCAGATATCTTCTGAAGCATCCTTGATGAAATTGTAAAATTTGAGTGAATAATAGGGACTGAAAAATGTAAAATTTGGGTCGAAGTATTGTTGTGGAAACCAACAAATATTTGGTTCATAAGCCATTGTCTGTACAGTATACAAAAATGTTCCTAAACAATTACATTGCCATTGACCCTAAGTTGGAAAAATGATAGCAACATGCATTTCCAGAAGTCACTATTATCGAAGGAAGCATCAAAATTTCTTTTAGTGGAATAGATTTCTGATTTCTTTTAGTTAAATAGATTTTTTAGCAAACATGCAATGAATTCAATCTGCGACAAGAAACCAAACACCATTTCGTCATAAAGAGCGCAAGTGTCACAAACCTTTTGTAAACGACAAAATACCCTAATGTGTTGCATATTGTCCATCATTTAGTCATAATCTCATTACAGGCCCAGAATTCTACGAAGCAAAGGCAGGCATGATCTAATGCAAAAGAAAAGAAGAAAAATAAACATTTCTCCCTGGTCAATTAAATATAAGCTAACCTAGCCATGCATACATGTATGATACATTCACTGATGCATGCATCCATGAATATGTGCATATTATCGGCAGTTGCATCCACGAATATGTGTATATTATCTGCAGTTGCATATGCATGTGTTTCAATGTCTCTATGTGTGTGTTTGTATCTAAAATTGTGAACACACAAAACACATGCACACAGAAACATCAGTCAGCCGGGGAAGCATGAGAAGCTTACTTGAAGAAATGCATGAGCATCTAGCTCGTTTGCAGCCATCAGATCTGCTTCTTGCCCACCAATCCGTTGTCCAGGATAAACCTAGAAAATGATAAAAACAATTTAAAATAGAAAAACTAGCCAACAATAAAGAAATGAGGATGTATAACCTATAAGATCTGTAAAGCTCATGCTATAATGGAGTCATGGATTTCAATTGGTTTCAGCTGTTCAAGAGAAACATTGAGATTTATGTCAAGACCTAATGTTATCTATGAACTATGATCAATGATCATGGCGATCACAATATCAAGCTCCCCCTTCTGTCCCACTTCCTACAGTGACAACACCTAGTATGTATCAACTGCTCCCGGCCGTGTGCTCATCAACTTGTTAGCAAGCTGGTCAGCCCACACAAAGCGCATGTATATAAGCACCCAATGCGAGTCAGAACCCAAGTAGACTACATCATCCTACATAGGAAAAGAGGTGGGCGACAGAGGTAGACCAGTGGAGTGAAAATGAGTGGAAACAAATGAAACCTTGGTGGAAAGAAAATAGGAAAATCATATACCGCAGGCTAGGTTTGTTAATATATACCGTTACTATCATTGTAACTCATGTTTTTGTACACAAGCCATACTTGACTTATGTTGTATAATGCTATGCATTTTCTTCAGTATCACCAATGAATGTAAACTTGTTGTCATGAATAACCATATTAGTAATTTGGATCAAACCTTCATAATATTACAGAAATATGCATCTTTGGGACTTGTGCACCCCTCTCTGAACTAAGGGGCTTGAAGCACCCCCCATTACCCATCCAAATCATCTCTCCCGCCCTCCCTACTACCTTTTCAATTAATACTTGAACATCATTCATCTGTGGAAATGTGTACAGTTGTACCGGGAGTACTGACAGTCTGAAACATGTACATAAATGGGGAGAAAGAGAGACTATTAAGAACCAAAACAAATAAACAAAGACAAAGCCTTACTACACAAAAAACACTCTAATAATCAGTTCCCATTGTTCTCTATCATTGGCCATTAAATCAGCTTCGTTAACTGCTCACCCTAAAACCTTTCATCATCATTGTAGTATCTTGCCCCATTACTCTAGCTCTCCCTTCCTATAGGCACATGCATTCATACACCTTTACCTACTCTCTTGCCCCAGCCCTGGATTCCTCACCATGTAATTTTTCTTTCCCTACAAATAGAGAAATCTACCATATTCCCAGTAATAGAAAAGCAATCCACTTATTACTAAAATTATGTGGATTACATGATATGGGAACTATTCAAGTGAAAGCCAAATGAGAACAAGGTAGCAGTTTTGTTTGAATATCAGGTTAGAAACGACTTAGAAGTCCCACTATTCAAATAGTTCAGCTTCAGGCCATGCCAGCATAAATAGGTCCAACTAACTCAAGAAAAATACAAAGCATAGCTATGCCATTCATCTGGAAAAAAACGTATTCCCTTCTTACTTAGCACTTTATCTGCCTCTTAGTAAATGAGAAGAGTTTTCAATTTTGCAGTGATAAGAGCTTCAAGGATCCTGTACAAACCGGATAATGAGGTGGCAAGAACCATGAAAGAAATCAGGAAACACAGGTCTAGCAGCCATGGACTTAACAAGCTAACTGTTTATTGCCTGTTACAATATTGTCTCAAAAGCAAAATGAAATGATTCAGGCAAGGCTCCTCAGGCTCCATCAAACAATACTCCCAGCAAGTGCAGAATAAATGTTCTATTCCAAATGTCTTTCCAATATAAGAACCGAGCACAAGTGCATACACCCAACTCACTACAGTTACTGCACTATAAGAACCGAGCAAAAAGCTAATCATCGCCTTCTATTAGATGCTGAAACAAAATCCCTAAGAACTGAACAAGAGTTTGAACATACTAGAAAAGAAATTTTATCATCCCTTTATAAACAAAAAATACTAGAATATTTAGAACCTGTAGGATAAGATAGAGGCAGATCAAATAGGAATAGCATAAGAACAATTTTATAAACTCAGTTTATAAACATATACCTTAAAGATAATCCGAGTTCCCTTCTTAGGACCTCGAGTTATTCTGCCATCATAAAGCCTGCAATAAACTGCCATGAATTATTTTAGTCCAGGACATACTAGGTCTTTAGAACAGTAACATATCTTGCAAGATAACAGGCAAAGCACCTGATCTTCACAGGGCCTTCTCCAACATCTTGAAGCCTCAATCGCTCGATGCTATCCTGAGAAAACTCAAGATCCGGATCCTCTAATTTCCCATCACTAGAAAGACCTCCAAATTTAGGAGGTGAATAACTGCAAAGTAATTCTGGAGCATATCAATGTCAACTCTCAATAATTAAAGTAAGGTTTATGTCCAGACTCTAGAATCTAGATTTAAAACACAACACAACTAAATATAGTGAAGTCCATTGTGGCAAATATTTGGATGTCCCCACCCTTCAAGGGGGCCGTCACTTGGTGTGACGATAAAAGGCTCCGGTAGCCAGCGCAAGAGCGCGAGTTCGAGTCCTAAGAGCGGCCACTTTGTTCATAAAAAGCCAAAGGTTAGGACCGTTTCCATCTCACTCTTCCCGGGACCCTGCGTCAGCAGGACCAGCACTGGGTAGGGCCCTTACAGCCCCACCTTCACTTCATGAGAAAGGGAGAGTGCTGCTAAATGTATTTTGAAAGAAATTGTCGCTCAAATGCACTAAATTCAATCTCAATAAAGCTATTTACCATCAACATCCATCTTGCAGAATTGTATCAATGTGAACTTTCCTCTATGGGTAGTGTAGGCATTAGTCAAATTGGAGTCCAGAGAAAAGATGCAGGGGTACCTAGGAATAACAAGGAAAGAAAACTAATACAATATAGAGTTTCGTCCAAAAAAAATATACATAGAGCAAATAACTCCAGAAAAATAATACAATATAGAGTTTCCCTGAAAAGAAATATTGAGCAAATAAAACCATATCCACAATATTATTAAAATCAAAGAACGTAAATAAGCTGGTAAAGGAAATTTTAATGCATTCAAAATTTTACTTCAAAAATCATCATTGAATCAAACGTGTTAAGTTATCATTCAAACATAAAACACACTACTTCAAAAAAAAAATTGAAAACAAAATACTATGAAAACCAAATCAGAGAAACTACCATCGAAATATCAACGAATTACCCACTCCTTAAAACCAATACAGAAATACATTTGGTTTAATTATCAGGTATCACAAACACCCTCACTCCAAAAAAATGCAGATAATGAAAACACTAGAAAAACATGGAAAGTTTCCATTGCTGCAAAGAATTCAACAAACCCAACAACCTTACCTGGTAACATTCATGTATCCATAGCTTCCAATGAACCTCCCCACTTCATAATCATCCGGGTCCATAATCAAGCTAGCCTTAACTCCTGAAACCCTAGTCCGATGGCTCATTTTATATCCAGAACCACGAATTGAAGTTTCTAGATATAAAAACTTCAGTCTATTTCTATAGCTATGGATTAGGGTTTGTGGCTCAAGAATCTTAATACAGGATTCCAATCTACGTCTATGGCCATGAATTAGGAGTTGATGATCGAACTCCCCTTGCCTGTAAAAACTTAGGGTTCCATTGATGGAGAAAGAAAAGGAAGCCATTTTTCGTTTTCACTGAGCTCTGATGTGGTTTGAAGTTTACCGCCGGACCAGAGGATCAGGGTTATTATCAGTTAAAGAAAAAGTGACCGCTTATGTTTGGGTGCGGTTTATATAAAGCCGAGGCTGTAAACAATCAAAGTAAAGCGCACCTTCAAATATTGTCGAAAAATGTGGTTTCAATACTCGAATTCTTTGTGATAGCCTTAAAATATATTTTCATCGGTAATTATAAAATGTAAAGCTTAAAAAGTAGTGTAGATCGAATAGATCTATGAAAACTTTAAAATCTTGAAAATTAATGACTTAAAAATACAATATGTATTATTTTCAAAACTTGAAATCCATTTTTTTCTCATGTCCATACATCTTGAAGTCCAAATGATCAATTTCACTATATTTCAGTATCAAAGCAACTTCTTCTAGTGAAATTTTTGATGTGCGCCCTAATTTAATTGTTTAGAGCCTCGTACTCATATAAACTTTTTCCCTTATAGATTTTCACGAACTAAATTATTTTATAACGAGTAGAAAGTTCCTTCCACCTTGATTACTGCCATAGTTATTCATGTGCTGTTTTTTATTGTTTGAGGATTGAAAAGATGATGGATTTAATTTCATACTTTTTTCTCATCTTATTTGTTTGCTTGATATAAGCCTGGGAAATTAAGTTCACATCAAGTGGTCTAAGACTACAATAATGGTCATGGAGGTCATGGCCATAGGAATGCCGAGATGAAATGAATGAACAAGAAAATCCACAACTTGATGGAAATAGTTGAAAACTTATAGCACAAACAAAGATCGCAATAACGTACCTCAAACAATATGAGATCTATGATGTTAGATCTATATCATACGAGTTTTTAGAGATCAACATACATCAGAGCCTGACCATGAGTGGGAAAGATCTCATATTGTGCTTGATCGTTCTTATGGGTTCGACACACAACAGCATCGACAAAAGTATAAATCTAAATACTTGAGCAACTAACAAGCCAAGGCATGGACCATGAGGAATCATGTTATTGGCACCATGATACAAGAAGATCCCTGTTAAGAGAGTTTGAATTAGGGTTTATAGTTGACTTCCTTAAATTTTGTGGAACTCTATCCAAGGACGACCATGGAGAAATTCTCATCAAATGGTTTCCAGATTCAGCAAGTCACAAATGAGATTCTCCACCAATCTTTGATGAAGATTTGGGTTTTGTGAAAAGTTGAACTTCTAAGTAATGGTTGGAGTTTGAAGAAGGTAAATTATGTTTTGATGAGGCAAATGGTGTTGATGTTGATGTTGATGTTAATGTTGATAATGATGATGATGGTGAAGATATAGAAGGGAAAGAAATCGCATTACCCATAGCAATGTTAACCATTCATATTTCTAATCAGAGGATTTCACGCCCCTTAATGCCTGCTACTAAAATCGATTGTGTCAAAACCCTTAGCCATTTATTCAAATATATTTTAATTGGACCTATAGCCCACATGATCCTGGTTCGAGCTTCAATTTTTTGATCCAGCAGATTATGCATATTTGTCCATTTTAAAATTTGAGGACGAGTTTTATCCAATCAGTGAAGTATGTTGTAGATAAATTCCATGAAGAAAACTAAATTCAAAGTTTTTATTTTTATTTTTAATTTCAGTGACAAATTAGGTTTTGTTAGTTGTTGTGGGTAGGGTATTTAATTTCTTAATTGATAGTATTAACATGATATTTGTTTGAAATTTACTTCGGGATTGTTTGGATCCTAAGGTACACAGAATCATATATTTGTATACCCAATGTGTTTTGCATAAAAACGTGTTTGGCGACTTTTTGGGACCCATGATCACATTTTGTAAACCAAAAATTAAGGCAAAACATGGGTACATAAAGTCAAAAAAAAAAAGTTTGGCTTATCCAAAACATGACTATGTGTGATAGAGATTATATAATATTATACAATTAATGATAATATAATAATATTATTATTACTACAAAGGATGGTATACAATAAGACTCACAACCATCCGATGTGAAATCTGATAGCTAGGGTGTTTCACAAAGTTCGAAAAAATTTCTTTTGAACTTTGAGCTTGGTCAATAAAATAAATGCAACCACCCAATTTTACATCCAATGATCAAGATTAATTGTGACCACCTTGTACTAAAGGTAAATGGTCTCATTATATACTTTCTCTTACTAAAATGCCTTACAATTTTTTATACACCAATTGACCCCTTCGTCAGACAGTGTGTTGCTTTTATTATTTATATGCTACTATTATATGAAGAAAAAAGTTTATATAAGGTTGCAACCTTAAAATGTAGAATTAAAAGTACACCTCAACAATCCATCATAAAAAGTTGTTTGGATGTTGGAAAACCCTTTGATTATCTCGACATCAAGATGTATGAAGGTGAAAAGAAAAAAAGATTTCGAGTCCGTGAAATAGTGTATCTTGCAACACATTATCTGACCGTCCATTTTCAATATTTTCATGTGTTTATATGTCTACTTGATTTGAACAATTTTTAGAGTTTAAAATTTTATAATTAGAGATGAAAATAGAATCTCAAGCCATCCTAAAAAAAAAATTATATCAAAAGTGCATTTATGATAAAATTTATGTTGAATGGTGATAGAAAAATCACTCTTTTAGATGCTTTTGTCTTTTACCATTTGTTTGGGGCCTTTTTATCACTACAATTAGGTTGGCTTATATAAAAGCCAAAATAAATGGGATTTTTGAGAGACACGATTCTTCTTGTTTTTTAACTCATATCTCTCTCTAGAAAAGGACCTAGGGCTTCATTGGGTTATGTTGAGAAAGGGAAGGAGGTTAAGAAGAATTTTCTTGTCCTATTTTTAGGAGAAATGGTATGAGTTTGTGTTGTTTATGTTCTTAAGTCATCCGAAGTGAAGCGGGGTATATCGTGTTTTTGGGTGCTCACAAGGAATGTATTCTTGGTGATGTTTTTTCATCAATTTTTCTCCTTTTGAGGTAATACTGTATCCCCTGTAAATTTCTCTTTTGATAGTGGAAAACTTGTCGGCTTGCCTATGGACGTAGCCCTATGGGGGTGAACCACGTTAAATTGCTGTTGTGTTTTGTCTCTCTAATTTTCTCTCATAACTATATTTTCCAACTTTAATTTATTTTCTTAAATTGTTGCACACAATCTTTGAACTTATTATTGGATTATCGATTTTACATATTTGGTATTGAGTATGTGATATTCGATAATCGGTTAAATTGGGGTTTTGGGTATTCAGATATTCAACAAGTGGAATCAGAGCATTATGTTTTGTGTAATATATTTTGGAAAATGGCGAGTAATCGGTTTAAGGTGGAGAATTTTGATGGACAAAATGATTTTGAGATATGCAAAATTCAAGTTCATGATCTTTTGGTCCAACAAGGGTTATACAAAACATTACTCAGAAAGAAAAAGAAACTGGAGTCTATGAGTAATGAGGATTAGGATGAAATCAACCTTAAGGCTATGGCTACAATTCGATTGTAATTTGCAAATAAGGTTTTATTCAATATAGTAGAAGAGAATACGGCAAAGCGCTTGTGGGAGAAATTGAAAAGTGTTTATCAAAACAAATATCTTACGAATTGTATTCTATTAAAAAGAAAATTGTTTAATTTAAGGATGAAAAATGGAACAAAAGTTTCCGTTCATTTGAACACTTTTAATAACATTATTTGTGAACTTGATAGTGTTGGTGAAAAAATGAAAGATAAAGACATAACAGTAAGTTTGTTATGCACTTTACCGGAATCTTGTGATAATTTAGTGACAACATTAAATTACACTAAAGAAGGTTCACTTGACTTAAGTACGATGACTTGTACTTTACTTGCCCATGAACTCCGAAAAAAGGCATCTATTAGAGAATCAGAATCGGAAGTGCACTTTTCCAGGGGTCGTTCAAGTGAGAGTGGTAACTCCTCTCAAAATTCTTCTAGATCTATGTCGAGAGTTCTATTTAAGTCCAAAAGCCGAGAAAACAAGTTCGTTTGTCGGGGATGTGGTGAAGTGGGACATGTGAAGAAAATTTGTATAAAAAGTAAATGACAAAAGTTCGAAAAAGCAAGGGAAACCAATGAATCCAAAAATGAGGTAAATCAAGTGGAGGAATCTACATCTGGTTTTATTGAAGATGATGTTTATGTCGTGGGTAGCAATCTCGAATTCCATAAAAATTAGATTTTGGATAGTGGTGCTACACATCATATGTGTCCACACAAGTCATGGTTTAGTTTATATGAACCATGTGAGAGTGGTTTTGTGTTGATGGGAATCAATTCTAATAGAATATGGGATTGGCACGGTGAAATTAAAGATGTATGATGGAAGTATCCGTACACTTGAGCATGTTCAACATGTACCAGACTTAAATAAAAGTTTAATTTCTCTTTTTTTATGGGATTCCCATGACTATAAATTCACCAGACAATGAGGAGTTCTCAAAGTATCTAAGGGTGCTTTTGTTGTAATCAATGTTGTTAGAGTTGATAACTTGTATAAGCTATTGGGAATCTCCATTGTTGATGATGCAACAAATTCGGTAGTAGAGAGTAATGATCTTCCACTACGCTTATGGCATAGGAGGTTGGGCCACTTGAGTGAAAAGGGTATAGAGATTTTAATGAAGAGGAAGCTAATTCCCACTAAAAAATTTGGGAAATCCGAATTTTGTGAGCATTGTGTCTGTTGGAAACAACATAGACAAATTTTCAAAGTTGTAAGCCATACAAGCAAGGGAATACTTGATTATGTTCACTCTGATTTATGGGGCCTCGCCTATAATGTCATATGGTGGTGCATTATATTTTATTTATTTTATAGATGACTTCTCAAGGAAGGTATGTGTGTTCACTCTTAAATCAAATAGTGATGCATTTTTTATCTTTAAGTATTTTAAGGCCGAAGTTGAGAAGAGTACGGGGCGCCACATCAAAGCACTTCGCACCGACAATAGGACGAAGTATAATTCTGATGAATTTACAAAATTTTGTAAAGATGAAAAAATCAAGAGACATTTCACCAC